CCAAATCGCTGAGAGCATATTCTTCGCTGCGAACTGCGTGTCGGTCCGCACTCTTAGGGGAGCCGCCTGTCTGCACACTAGGTATGTTTCCCCTTCTTCGATCTTCGACCCTATCGTGGAATCCACCTTTGAAATGTGAGAAGATAAGTGGAGGTAGTATCTCTAAGGCTTCTTTGATGATTAAGGTTCCTAACCACTTCCTGGAGATGAGTTACCCAGAAGCGCTTCTTACGTCGTCGACGAGGCACTAAATCCTTAGTACCACAACCTGCATACCTTGATACAGTGACGAATGGGAACTCGAGGAAGTTCAAATTCAAGTTCCAGATGTTATCAACAAGTAGCTGCGCCGGACTCGCTCGAAGGCAAGCGATTGTGTCCTTCATCTGAAAAGAGCTCAATGAAGGTTGCGCACGAAAGCTCAACAAAACCTGAAACATATTTCACTTCAATTCACTTGGTGCTGAGTACTATATAAGTTGTAAATGATAATTTGAAGTCGATGCTACATTAGATTTTGTGACATCCTTTGAGAACTTGGCATTGCTGCAGTCGCAAACTCCCGGTGCCCACACTGCATTAGTCGCACGTGGGAGAGGCCTAACCACTTTCTTTTTCTGTACTCTCCCCTTCCGCCCTGGCCACTTTTTGAGATCGGGAAGAACCAATTCATAATTCATATTATTAGGTCGGTCCACAATTTTTGAGAACCTTTGGTGTTTTTCGATTTATTACTTATCTTATTTCTCTGATCTACTTATCCAGCATAGTATACATCATTATTATTAACAACATATCGCCAATGCGAGGGTGGGTATTCAGTGCCTCTCTTGTGGACTTTCATAGAGTTCTGATCGAAGGAAAATTGTAGTCCCGAATCAGTTCTCAACCCAATCTGACATCATCAAGTTCCTGTAGGTTTCCTATAGTTCCTTCGGATGACCATCTATAATACTCATTGGTGATGTGGACTGGGTGCAATGTGCTAACAAATCCACGAGCCGCAGTAGATTTGCTCAAACGATTCGGGAGTTCTGACAGTAAAAACCCAACTCCCTCTGAATTCGAACTTCCTGAGTCGTTGGCGCAATACGGGAGGGCCTTTGCGCTGAAGACCGGCATCAACTAATACCAGTGTCAGTGATGGGAAGAATCGTTGACAGCTTGATGGCAACGCCTTCAACTTGAAAGCAAAGGAAGACAAAATCTATTTTTTCTGAGGTCGTTCGAGCCCGCCTTGCTAAGAAAATTCCTAAAAAATTGGAGACTCTCGGGCGGTCAGTTCTTTTAGCTCCGCCTTGTAGCACTAATGCGTCAACGAACGACTATCCGCTCTCCTCTCTCAATCACCTTCTGGAGAAGAAATCTCACTTGAATCACCATAAAGTCAAAATCGACATCCAATATTTCTTCGATCAGAACTCTATGAAATTCTACAAGAGGACACTGAATACCCACCCTCGCATTGGTTATATGTTGGTAATAATGGTGATGTATACTATGCTGAATAAATACATCAGAGAAATAAGATAAGTAATTGAATCGAAAAACACCAAAGGTTCTCAAAAATTATGGACCGACCTAATATTATATTTCCTAAGGCTACATAAAAGATCACTCAAGGCTCGCGGATTTGACATCGCGAATGGGATCTAGGAATGAAAATCTAGGCATTCATACGCTCTCTATTCAAGAAGCCACTCGTATTGGCGAATATCCAAAATGCGCTTTTGTAGGTGTTAACGGTAGTGGCAGTGAGAAAAGAAAATGGAAGCAATTTGAGAGAAAAGTATTTCAAAAAAGTAAATTTAAAAAATAAGAATATGCAAAAACAAAAAAGGAATTTATTATGCAGGAAATCTGACGGCGCATAGAACGATAATCAGAGGGGCTTGACAGGGTCAACCGTCCGTTGGGACAAAGTTCACTAGGGGGTCGTATTTGGCCGACGCTAGAGGGGGGGGTCGTCGTTCGCAGGAGTCAACGTTGCAGTACGAAGAAGTTCTTTGGGTGTAGATGACGAGAGATGGTTTTCGCTATAAGGAACCTAATGTGTGTTGTGATGAAGCTCGCAGCTGTTGGCTTGCTGGGACCATCGAACGATTAGAATCAAGACGTTAGTTCTCGCGACAGTAGGGGAGAGGTAAAACTTTTGAGTGCTTCTTCAACTATTAAGCACAAACGAGTGCATGGCGCACATCAGAGCAAGAAAGTCTACTGCGAAAGTATCCATATTTGACTGCGCACGTACACAAATATAATTCCTAGAGGTGAACCAATGCCTTCAAACTGGACCTAAGTTAATAAAAGAGTGACCTCTTTGGTAGATTGACTGCTAAAGGGCTACAAGAAAAGTTTGGGAACAAAAATATTTGCCTGTCGGCAACTTCTTGAAATGGGTTTAGCATCTGTAATGAAGCACAGAGCTCGTGCGATGTCACGGTATCATAATTCCCGATAAAATTGAGTTTGAAGAGAGTTGTCAGTGTTTAAGTGTTGAAAACCCGTGTTTTCAGGAGAGTAGCGCCGAAAATTCATGAAAAAAAAACGGGTCCAACGGGGCGATTTTTTGACTCCTTCAACTTTGGAAAGAGAAAAAGTATTCGTTGGAAAGCTCTAACCTTCTACTCCAATCCAGGGGGACAAGAACTGCAAAAAGTTCAATATGAAGAAAGTTATAACAATTTAAAGCCAAAAACCAGCGCTCTGCAAAAAATCGGTCCGCGATTTCCCAAAAACGGTCCAACGGGGCGATTTTTTGACTCCTTCAACTTTGAAAGGAGTTCAAGTATTCGTTAGGAAAGCTCTAACCTTCTTCTTCAACCCAGGGGGACAAGAATCGCAGAAGGTGGAATTTGAAGAAAGTTATAGCCATTGAAAGCCAAAAAACCTGGTCTTGCGAAAAAAAAAACGGTCCAACGGGGCGATTTTTTGAAGGAAAGAGTTTTTGCGAAAGCTTGAGCACTTTTTAGAAAGAAAACAGTCTGAGCTTTCCAATTTTTCTTACCGCTCCTCATAATTCCTTCTTTGAAGAAAGTTACAACCTTTCAAAGGACGAAGTGCGCATTTCTGTGAATTCTTTGTTCTCTACCCCATAACTGACGTAGTTTTGAAGATGAGGCATAATCGTGGTTACCTTCTGAAACAAGCAGTTTTGTAGATGACAAATCTACTTAGCGTTTAGAAATTGATATTGAACAAAATTACGCTTATTTGAAAGTCAATAGTCTGTTTCTCGCTGCCCGCGCTGCGCCGAGGGGAAGATTGCGCGCGCCAATGCGAACGCAACGCTCCCGTGCTCCAATCGGACACTTCTGCTGTATACTCTCATGCTCTGAGATGCGCCATGCACTCGTTTGATATGCGCTTGCATATCGAAATGGAAATTTTTTGTGATTTGAACGCCCATTCATGAAAGGCAGGCAAAGCGCCATTCGAACTAAAGGGCAGTACTTCCCCTAGCGTTAGCTTTTTCCTTAGCAGTGTACAGTACATAATGAAGTGCGGGGGGGGGGGGGTCGTATGGAGACTCTCCAAGAGGGGGGGGGTCGTAAAAATTTTGAAATCGGTCCAACGTGACGGTTGACCCTGGCTCTTGACATACCTGCGTTCGGTTACAACCGACAAGATAGGCTAGTTGCTGGCTTTTGTCCAACGCTCGGCTTGGGCTGTCCATCGACCATTTGTTATCCAAGCTACCAGATTGAAGAATACCATTTTTGAATAAACTAAAATTTGCAGTCCTTCAAATTGAAATCTCAGTTTCGAGATCTTGTTCTGAGACTCATTAAAAATTGTCGAATTACCTAATTGATGTATTGATGAATCGCATTTGTGGGGCCCTTTAAGATCAAGAGTGATTCACAATTGACCTTATTCGAAATTTCGAAGAGTGGGTCACGTACCCATTCAGGTCATTGGAGCACTTCTTCAGCAAGTCAATAAGTTAGCATGACACTCGTAGAGGGTTGCGAAACTTGTGGGGTCATTCAAATGCAGCAATAGAGGGTTCTGAATGAAAATGGAATGCACGACCCACCCCAAAGAGCGTCATAGGGACCGATTTTTCACCAGTTTCTCAGACACTCAAGTTGCCAGAATTCTCGAGTTTTACGGTTTTTTTTGTCTGAACCATAAATGTCGAATCTTCCTCAGTATTAACTTTCGAACGCGAAACCCTTTGAGGTTTGATTGGAAACGCTTGAATTTCAGTCCTCGTTCACCTAGTAACTCTGATTTTTTAAAGTTTTCGACGATTCGAAGTCAAGCATATGTACTTTACTATCACTAAAACTTCGAAGAAAGAGCACCGGAAGACGCGATTTGTTGCCTTTTTAGTCTTTTTATTATGATCCAATTACCTCTTACTTTGCTGGATGCCTTCAACTCCTCAAGTTCTATAGGATTCCTTAATATTAATTTCCAGAAAATATTGTGGTTCTCACAATAACTCACTTTTCCGATCCAGGAGCAATCAAATGAGCGACTATGCTGGCCGCACCAGCACTTTCACCGAATAACGTTATTCGACTTGGATTTCCACCAAAATTGAAGATATTGTCACGAATCCAATAGAGGGCGAGTTGCTGAAATTGAGTGGCCTTTCGTTTCAACATGAATGTGAACGTTACCTTCTAATTGTTCCTTTTATTTTAATTTCGATAATATTTTCGTGTCATTTGAAAATGTGCGTCTTTTTAGCTATGAGGCGCCACCGACAAATCATAGAAAACTACGAAAGACGGGAATAATGGCGAGGAAGTGGCACCGTGGGAGAATTTATTACCGTCAGTGCCAGTGTTCTTCCCCAGGGAATCGGAAGACTCCTCCTTCTGGCGGAGGGCAGATCAGACGCATTCATTCCCAGTCATAGTTCCCTAACGACGTTGCTGATCAGTTGGCTTTACCGCGCACCATTCCAAATGAAGTCATTCCCTTTGGAAAAAAAGCTGTTCAGGGTCAGGAACTCCCCCTCTATGAGGGATTACTACGGTAATCCAGCCGATGTGGAATTATCTATGAGTTTTGAATTATGCAACATTTGATATGGCCCTGCTCCATGAGCTTCTGAGTTAAGGCAACCCCGTATCTTCCCTCTATTGAACGTGCTCACCTGATCAAGCATACCCACGTTTCCAGGAGCTATCATCAATTGAGTCACTATTAAAACGGGGGGGAGGTAACGAAACGGGCCAACTCGGTAGTTCACATTCACAACAATGACATTACCGAGCAGTGCCAACGCCTGAATATTGGCAACATGTAATTCATTGTTTGGATTTCGAAATGGATACTTTTGAGGTTTAAAGAGTGCGTGAGATCGTTTTGGTGAGGGGACTTGCCATCGTACAGAATCAGTGATGGACTTCCAGAGTAGTATCCACCACCGAACAGCCAAACCATGACAGTAAGATTGCTTAAAATATGAACTCAAGGTCGTATAAATGACAAAATTTGGGGCTAAGGTTTTCTGATTTCGGTCGCCGTAACCACGATATAAGCTGAATTATAGCTGTCAGTTTGAATGGTATTAGGTCTAGGCGAGCTCGCAGAATAATGAATAATATACTTTCTTCTGAGAGCTCATTAACATTGTCATGTTCAGTAAGCAGTTTTTTTAGGACGGCGTGCGCCATGGCAATCAAAAGATAAAGAGCAAATGAAAACAATCAAAAGAGCAATGCAGAATGCGTTCTATTCAAAAACATCATGTAAGGAAACAGTAACCGAACAATGTCAACCACCGAAGTTTGGTGGGCAAAAGGAAATCGGCAAGTGGATCAGGCAGGCAATTCTTGAAACTCTTTAGAGGCTCAATACACTTTCATACTAGTCAAGTAATTGCTCCAGAGTGAAAGCTGATTTCAGAAGTTTCCAGAATGGCGAAGGGTATCGGTAGTATATGCACTCTTTAGGCGCCGTGACCCACCTTTTGTATTCGTCTTTACGTCAAAATTACCGCGCTCCAATCACAATATGCCACACAGTTGAACACGTCAACTATAGCAGCCTGTCTGTAAAAGGCTGGCGCTTCTAGATAGCCATTCTCTCTTCTAATTGAGACCTGAGTGGTCGACCCTCGTATACGTGAAACGGCAGAGCCCACATCATACAACTGCGCCCCTTTAGTTTCATCTCGCATTTACTCCCAGCCAGCAGTTCTTGCATACTTTTTCAATACTTTATCAACTCGACTTATATGTGTTACTGCCTATGAAAATCCACATTAAAGTTTTTGATTTACTAAAGTCAAGTATTCTGTGTACTAAGGTTCAGATTATCGTTGCTATCTGGTGCAGATGGATTGGGGTAGATCGGCGCGTGGTGAGCGTAAAAGTAACACAAGAAAGCCGAATTAGGGACAGAGTACCGATAGAATAAGAGGTATTTGAGAGCGGCTAGCTGGAGCCAGGGAAGTTGGGATAGTCATTTGTGTCGTGCCTAAACTACTAAACCACCTCATGTGTAAGTCATGCCACAAGGGTCACGACATTAGGTCCACTAATACTCTACAAATACTCTAACAGATTTTCACAGGTAGTTGCTTGTGATACGACCCGAAACGTGGTGCGTGAAGGGCGCTGGGCCGCGAAAACTTGGGACCACATGTGGAACCATGGAAACTTCAAGCAACAACGCACGCCCATCGCTGTGGCATCTGCTTTCTGCTTTTCACGATGCTCCCTCTCATTTGCCTATCATTCCCTCACCGGCAGCGCACACCGTCTTTTTGATTCTTTTTCGCTCAGACTCTTCGACTTAACTCAGAGAGAAGGGCTTCATTCGCGATATTTTCAGTAGATTATTTTCCTTTTTTCTTGGTTGGCAAATCAGTTACCACTGACTGTCACTATCTACGTACCTTCACAACGGAACCCAAAACAACGACCGTTGTTGCTGTCGCAGATTGTGTCTTTTAAGGAAAGAACTAATAGAAGATCAATCATGAAGGCACATAGCTAAACCATAAAAGTTTTTGTACTTGGTGTGTGGGAAAATTGGTGCCAGATTATATCGATATATAGACAGATAGGTACTGATATTCAAAAGCACTACCAATCTGAGCTTATGGCAAATGCATGGCGCAACAGAAACAAAGGTGCACGATTTTTCAAGTTTCTTTCTTTAGATAGAATTTTGCTTTGCGGAACTTCCAAATTTTCGTCACTTCCATTCTTTGAATGGTTTGAGAGGCAAAAAAGAAGTGCAAGCTTCTAAAAAAGGATTCCGCAGTTTTTGTCGAATTCATCAAGCGCTTTCCACATTCTGGGAAAATGACGCAATGTAGAAAATAGAGACGTACTATGCGTCTGCAGGCGTCCAAATATTCAGGAATAAACAATCCTCACTGACTGGTGTATTGTGATTCCACATCTCCGAACCCCAAAACGAGGTGTTGTACGTATCACGGCCCTGAAACAAGGTCAGTAGAAGGTAGGACGTATTTTTTTAGATACACAGAGTGAGTAAGCAGTAAAAGAGGATAAGAAACCATAATTCAAATTATAGTTATAAGAGAAGTGATTATTAAATAGTGAGAACAAAAATGCAACCTATTGGTATGGAAAATTGAATGTATCGAAAGAGGGCTGAAGAAAAACTGCTGGAAAATAATATTATTCCAGCAGGTGCTTGTATTATTTTTTATGGTCTGAATGATTCCCACCAAATGGTATAATTTGTCACTTTTCCCATATTCAGCCGGTGTTTGCATTTCCACATCTCTTTTTTCGCGAGCCTGGAAGTCGAGTGCACCCCCCCCCCAATTTCCCCTAAAACCTGTATCACCTTCCTTCCGATGTAAGCCGTTGTCGAGTACTGGATTTCCGCCGTAAACTGTCCCAAATTTAGGCGGTGGGAAACTGCATGTGTACACCTGTTTAACGCCTGAACGCGCAAAAGCTTCACGTTGGAACTTCTCAAAACCTTGCACGTGGTCGCACCCACCATACCATTCATTCCATGACCCTTGACTTTTACTAAGCCCTGAATCTCTTTCAAACTTCCTCCTTTCTGCTTTAAACTTTGCACTTAGGCCTCGACGAGCACGCACAACGCACAAATGCGCGGAAATAGTAGACTGGTTAGCAAAGCACTATGCCTTTAAGTTTTGTTATTTTTCTATTTCCGCTTTTCCTGTTTCGCTTGCGATGAAAATCGATTCACGAATGACGAAATTACGGAATCTGCGGCAGGTAATATCAACCTATGATTTAAGAGGAAGGTCTTTCAGGAAATGCCAGCTTTCTCGAAACGGTTTTTTGCATGATATAGGGGTACGTGCATGGAACACAGAACTGTAGTTCATTTTTCCTGAGCGGCCCTCTGAATACCAAAAAAGGGGTGATGAAGTGGTCCGTGGTTCGAATCCTCGCAGTGACAATTTTTTGCATTTTGTGTTGGCGTTTCAAAATTCGCGAAAAATAGCGTCAGCGTAAACAACTTATGTCATATCTATAATTAGGACCATCAGCAACCTTTATACGTAGACTTTGGCTAAAAACTGGTGAAGAAAGTTAAGAACGGCAGTTCCTTAAGAAATTTTTCTTCGCTCCTTTTTGGTATTCAGAGGGTCGCTCAGGAAAAATGAACCACAGTTCTGTGTTCCATGCACGTACCTCTATATCATGCAAAAACCGTTTCGGAAAGCTGGGCACTTCCTAGAACATTCTGGTCAGTGCGAGGTACCACGGTAAGAAAGTAAAGAAAAAATGAGGTAAAAACGGCAATATTGTAAAAGAGTGTACAAAACGGCCACAATTTTCCTTTTCATTTTTTCGTTTACACCCAAAATTAAACATATCTATACCTGATAGCAAGCCGGTGACAATGTGTTAGCAGTTATTGTTTGATTCCATGGTTTCTTCGGCTTAGGGGGCCGAAATCGCTGCTCACCGATTGGAGGCTCAGCGAATGGAACACTGAAAATCAATTAATAAACCTCAATCATTGAGCTGGAAAAAATTATTTACTAAAGAGACGCCTTCTGACGTTCTTCGAGAATGAAAATTACCTCAGAAATGAGCGCGAACCCGTTTGTGAAGAAATATTGACTCTTGACCTCGAATTTTACCGAGGCGTGTTTCAACCTCAACTGGGATATGATTCTGATGAGAAGCAGCCTATAAGAAAGGATCAGTAGGGTTTCAGACCCTCAGAAGCCAAATGAGCTTTCAAAAATATGTTGCTGATAAATTAATTGACCACAATGAATGTGTAATTTTGGTTTGTCCAATAATTTTTGACCCATTATTTGGTTTTCGCTGGACCTTTGAAATTAATTACTGAAATTAGGGCATGCTTTGCAAAGATAGTGATTATCTCTTTTTTTATGGCGCAGTCTGGAAGTTTCTGCTTCCAAGTCCTGTGAGAGTCATCTGTCTCTTTTCAGATAAAGCTTTGTCATATCTGACGGTTGATCAATGTTTTCAAGTATCTATATTTTTTCGTATAACTTCACTTTACCTATCGAGTGTTTCCTTCTTTGCGGGTTTTTATCCCTTGATTGACTTAAAGTTATTTAGTAATTCAGATTGTATTGTTGCAGTCAAGAGGTGGTCGAAAAAAAAGGAGGAGCTCAAGAAGGAAAAGTACAATGAAGGAAAAATGAAATGAAGAAACAAACCAGGTGGCCACTGCCTCATTCCACATTGGTATTAATTTTCTATCTTTTACTTCATTTTCATTTTTCTTCATTTGTATTTTTCCTTCTTACTCCTTTTTTCGACGCACCCTTGACGGCAAGAATACAATTTGAATCACTAAACAACTTAGCAAATAAATGAATAAATAAACTAGCAAACAAGGCAACAACTCGATAATTAAATGAATAGATCAGCAAAAAATATAGATACTTGAAAACATTAATCAACAGTCAGATATGAGAAATCTGATATGTATATCTGAAAAGAGACAGATAACTTCACAGGACTTGGAAGCAGAAACTTCCAGACTGCGCCATAAAAAAAGAGATAATCACTATCTTTCAAAGCAACAACAAAATGGAGGGTCATCTAGTCTCCCCAAAAGTTCATTGCTAAAAATGCTAAAAATTGCTATAGGCTGTTTTTTGCCTTTCGCAATGCTATAGTTAAATTAGAGACGCAGGCATTTTCGCTTTCAACTACTGTTACATTCATTATTGTAACTTTGTGAGAAGATTATAAATAAACAAACAAATAAAAGAAAAAAAGAAGTAAGAAAGGGAGCCGAGATAAATGAAAATGGAGAGGTGAAGATCTTTCTCGGCGCACATGGTCTTCTGGAGCATTACTCAAAACCTGACACCCCTATTAACCTTACACCTCAATCTACTTGATTTGTTAAAAATTCAAGCATTCACGAACGCCCTATCCGAAACACTTACGTATCGAGGCGTCCTTGAGCTTTTCTTTAACTGAAACCAGTGACCTCATTGAACCTAATCCACTCAAGTTCGTACTATTTAGGAAGGAATTATGGGTCAAAGCGACAATATGCACTCTAGACGTAACCTCGATTCGAAAAGACGAGAGAAAAATCGAGTGCAGACCACACACCATAAGAGACGACGGCTCAAGGAAAAAAGCCGCTTTTCTCTTGGCCGTCGTCTCTTATGATGTGTCGTCTGCACTCGATTTTCTTCTCGTCTTCCAAAATAGAGTGTATACTGTTGGATGTGTTTTTGGACGCTGATCTCGAATCTGCTTTCGGGTCTGCCATCGACTTTTTGAAGGGAGTTATGAAGCAAAATGCAGCAGCGGAAGTGGTCCGGGCTCACGGGCGCGAAGTCGAGGGATCGAGGATTCTCCTTTTGCTTCCGCTGCAGCATGGTTGAAAAAGGCTCCAACTACTCTTACTTGATCAACGCTTGCCTGTAGTTACCCGTGCAAAGACTTTGCGAGGAGTTTCTAATCAGTTTGGGCGGTACTTACTAAAGACTGCACATGGAGCCCACAGAACTCTTGGCAGACGTTTTTGCAGCAACAGATGTGATTCGTGTTTCGGAGATTAAAAGTCTAGGGCAAATTTGTAGCCAAACACCGTCAGGGAATCGATCCTACGACCTCTCGCCCGTGAGCCCGGACCACTACCGCTGCTCTATTTGCTTCATAACTCCGTTCAGAAAATCGTTTGGCAGATTTGGAAAGCAGATTCGAGATCAGCGTCCAAAAACACATCCATCACTGCGGGTCACGTTGCATATAGCCACTTCGACCGGTTATCCTTTAGGAGTAAATGCCGATGTCGAGATTTCATAGAGAATTGCCCTCAGAAAACACATAACATGATAAAATATTAATTTTTGTGTGTACATTTTGGAAGAAATCTTATACAACAAGAAGACAGCAGTGAAAAAAAAACGAAAAAAAGCAAAGTTAACAAAAAGGCAGAAAATGTGCACAATGGGAGATTTACCTGAATAAATAGAAAGAAAAAGGTGCTGAGAAAAACTTCCACCCACATACTCCCAGAAGGAATCGAGTCCTGAAAACAAGGAAGACTTCAAAACAAACTTCAACAAAAAATTTCTAGCATAAAAGCGAGGGAATAGAGGGCATGACATCCTAGGAATCATCGCAGCGGCAACATGTTCGGGTGCAAAAAGGACATTGACAAATCGCCTGTGATAGGCCGATGTGAAGTGAGAAGAGAGCAGAAGCGAAGCCGAATAATCACATCAAGAAGTGGAATGGACATGGGAGAGGATGTCGCTAACAGAAATAACTTTTTTCATTTTGTTCCTTTCTTTGCTTCCGGACGAAAGCAGCGCACACCCATACATTTCTGGAACAAAGAATGATGAAGGAAAAAAGCATAAAGAAATCAAAAAATGCTGCGGGGAACAATCCGCTCGGAGTTTTTCCAATGATCTCCGTGATAAACTTAAAAAATAATAAATAATAATAATAATAATAATAATAATAATAATAATAATAATAATAATAATAATAATAATAATAATAATAATAATAATAATAATAATAATAATAATAATAATAATAATAATAATAATAATAATAATAATAATAATAATAATAATAATAATAATAATAATAATAATAATAATAATAATAATAATAATAATAATAATATTGAACTTGTTTTTGTTTGTTAAACTGCTGTTTTGCCGCAGTTCGCCACTTACGATGTTTAAATAATAATAATAATAATAATAATAATAATAATAATAATAATAATAATAATAATAATAATAATAATAATAATAATAATAATAATAATAATAATAATAATAATAATAATAATAATAATAATAATAATAATGTTTTGACTTGAATTCTTTTGCTAACGGTTGTTTAAGCGCCGAAGGTCGCGTAGTGCATGCCTCACAATATAAATGCTTCATTGGACTGTGAACAAAACTTTCGCCGAAGCAGCCTTCCAACCAGGGTTCAGTCCCATCGTTTGTTTACTTTTTTCAAAAAATTTTTAGACCCTCCCTCCTCCCAAGGGGACCCCCTTGGGCACGACCCCTTTCCACAAACCTCGACACATACCTCTCTATAGTGTTTATATCTGGTTCCCTCAACCCACCACGAACTCCGCCCACTTTTTCCTCCAAAATTGCCGTCGAGCGGGGGGGAGGGGGCATACGCGCGCTGAAACGGCGAATTTTTCTCCCATGCGCTCCCAACTCACCTAGCCTACTACTCGTGAAAACTCCACTTTCACCACAAACTCACATGTACTTTCACGCGACTGAAGCGGATACGACCCCCCCCTATAAACTCAACCAGGTACGACCCCCCGTTGTTACTAGTAACAACGTAGGGTTGACCCTGCTCGAACCAGCACCTCCGGCTTCCCGCGCAAGTGCTTCGAGTCCCGCCTGGGATGAAAGTTTTGTTAATAACCAAGAATTCTTACGAAGCAATATCTATCATCATTTTAAATTTTGCCTACATTTTATTTTTTTAATCAAATCCTTGATCATACGCTGTCCAGGTTAACCAAACCCTTATCCGCGCGGGAGGATCGGTCAAATGGTGGAAGATGGTCGGCCAAGCAGTTCTTCAATTAACTGTCGCTCGAAGCGTCCGGATTCTTCTCGAAGTTTTTCCAGGACTATGGATTTGCTTGGAAAGCTACATGTGGGGATCGGGGAAGCTCGAGCCATGGATTACAGAGATGACACTCCTTCTCCTTCTTTAGCGGCGGACATGCTAAACGCCCCCGGCGCCACAAGTGCCGGCGCCAAAAGGCGCGCCAGAACATCTCGGATCACCAAATTCGCTGGAAACTTGTCTCAGAGGTACTTTGACCCGTAGAACATGAATATCACATTAGTTCGTTGCGAGTGAGCCTGTAGCCTGCGCTACGGGCGCCCGCGCAAAACTGTTGTGATAGCGCCGGCGCCTGTGGCGCGGGCGCCAAGCGTTTTCGCGCTAAACCGGTGTGATATTCGTGTTCTACGGGTTGAAAATTCCCAGGAATAACTTTCTAGCCAAATCCTTAGTCAAGGACAAATTTCAATCAAAATCCGGCTAAGTTTTGAGGAGTAGAGGGCCGAATGGTCTGAGGAAGAAGAAATCACTGGCTTGAAATTTGACTGGCATCCGCGTCTAATGTAGAGGCCAGATCATACACAAAGAGAAACTTCAATTCGCTACGGAAATAGGAGGATGCGTGGCGCATCCGAAAAAGGAATCGATCACCGTCTAATGCTCTGTGCCTACTCAATACTGCATTTTCAGCCGAGTCTGAATCAGAGCAGTGGGAGTGCAGTGGGATTTGATCCCATTGGTTCTCAGCAGACAGTAATTCTACCCACCAGATCATTTGGCCAAGAAAAAGAGGCATGCAGTAGATCGATTTGTAGATAAAAAGAAACCTAGGTAACAATTAGTAATTGATTTTTGTATTGTGCTATTCGAGAGTTAATGACCACCTTCTGGCCATGTAGGTGCAAAGAATATCATA